AACGATCCTCCTGCCTCAGCCTCCCAAGTGCTGGGATTACAGGCATATGCCACCACGCCCAGCTTATTTTATATTTTGAGACAGGGTCTCACCATGTAGCCCAGGCTAGGCTCAAAATCACCATGTAGCCCAGGCTGGCCTTGAACTAGTGTTGATCCTCCTACCTCAGCCTCCCAAGTGCTGGGATAACAGAGGTATACCACCACACCCAGTTGGATTATTATTTTTAAATGGATTCAGAAAGACTTTAAAAGTTCTCAGTGTAAATTTCTTTTTTTTTTTTTTTTTTGGTACCAGGAATCAAACTCAGGACCTTGCACTTGCCAGGCGGGAAATTATGCCACTGAGCTATATCCCCGGCCATCAGTGTAAATTTCTAACACGACCAATGGACCAAAGCTCCTTCCAGGAACTACAATTTTTTTTGAACGATAAACTCTGCTCAGAGACCGTGTTCAGAAGGACTCTGAAGCTGTGCACCAGCCCACACCTGTCATCCCAGCTACTCAGGAGGCTGAGGCAGGAGGATCGCAAGTTCCAGCCCAGCCTGGGCACTTAGCGACTTAGTGAGACCCATCTCAAAATAAAAATAAGAACAGAGGCTGAGGGCCCAGTCGAGGCGCAGGGAGGGGATGCCTGTGCCGGGTTTGGGGGGGACTCGGGGCTCACTCACCGCTCCTTGCGCAGCAGCTCCTGGCTGATGAGCAGCAGCTGTCCTGAGGCGTCGTGGGTCTTGCGGGACACGGCCTCCAGTTCGGCCTCCAGGCGCCGCTTTTCCTTCAGCAGGGCTTCCGCCTTCTTCTCCCCTGACTTGCACTTGCTCTCCAGGGCTGGGCAGGGCGGGGCAGGGAGCACAGGGTTGCGAGACCACGTCCTGCCACCCAGGGCCCAGGCTGGCTTTGCCGGGTGGGTGTGTGACAGCAAAAGCTCGACTATGTCTCTCCTTTTTTTCCTCCCTCCCTCTCTTTTTTGAGACAGGGTCTTACTATATAGCCCAGGTGACCCTCCTGCCTCAGCCTCCTCAGTGCTGGGATTGCAGGCCTCAGGGGTCTCTGTGGTCCTGAGGGGCTACAGGAGCACAGAAAACAGCCACAGCCAGCAGCGGGCCCTGGCAGTAGGGATGCAGTGTCCACACTGGAGTCTGGACCAGGAGGAGCCGGGTCTGCCGTGGCCTTAAGCGGTGAGCTCCTCTGACCTTTGCTGGGACCCATCAGGGGAAGAAGACAGAAGAGGGCGGGGGCACCCTGGGAGGGACACCATCTTGGGGACACCGTGGCTGGCCCCGGGCAGACAGAAGCAGGGCTGGTTTGTCCCACGGTCACTAATGCCACAGTCCCTGCCTCTCCTGGGCTGCCCGACTTGGTGACCACTCTGGTCCGAGGTTGGTGCCCACCCCCGATTCTGCAGTCCCTGGGGTTATCTCCCCCACGCTGGGGGCAGACAGCATGCATTAAAGTAACCTAGGAGAGCTGGGTGTGGTGCTGCATGCTTGTCATCCCAGCACTCTGGGAGGCTGAGGCAGGAGGATCACAAGTTTGCGCCCAGCCTGGGCAATTTAGGGTCTTATGGAGACCTTATCTCAAAAAAAAAAAAAAAAAAAAGTGGCCCAGGAGAAACCAGGCTTCAGAACAGAGCACCCAGCTGGACCTCCGGTGCAGGGACTCAGCAGTGGTTCTGAGGACCAGATCCCACCGCTTGGCCCGGGGACGCCCCTCGGGGGAGACTTACCACTTACTTGGGCCCTGAGCACCTCAGTCTGGGAGGCCAAAGCTGTCACCTCTTTGTCCCTCTTGTTCAGCTTATCCTGCAGGGCTGGGGGAGAGGAGAAGCCGTCAAGACGCCAGTCCCAGGGACAGGGACCCTGCTGCAGGAGCCCTGGAAGGGCACACGGGCAGCTCTCGGGGTCTCTGTCCTTCCTCCCGCCAGCCCCGAGCAGCCACCCTGGGGTTGGGGACCTGGCCTGCACCGTCTTGGGGAACGTGACTCTCATCACTCTGGTGCCCTCAAGGGACAGAATGGGGATTCTGATAACAACGGTGCCTGCCATGGTGGCGCATGCTGTAATCCCAGCACTCGGGAGGCTGAGGCAGGAAGATCGCCATGCATGTGAGACCAGCCTGGGCTACACAGTGAGTCCAAGGTCAGCCTGAACTACACAGTCAGACATGAACTACAAGAAAGAAAGAGAGAGAGCAAGAGAGAGAGAGAGAGGAATGGAAGGAAACGAAGGAAAAGGAAAGGAAACAGAACCCTTTACTGTATGCCCTTGGAACCATTTGAACTTTACACCTAGTTTTTAAAATAAAGGTGAAAGCCAGGCAGGATGGCGCACACCTGTAATCCCAGCACTCAGGAGGCTAAGGCAGGATTGCTGGGAGTTCGAGCCCAGCGTGGGCTACAAAGTGAGTTCGAGGCCAGCCTGACATAGGGAAACCCTGTCTCAAAAAACAAAAAAACTAAACTAAACTAAACTAAAGGTTAAAACCTAACAAGGACCAAGCGCGTGTCCCCGGCCAGCGCTCAGTAAAGGGAGCGGGCCCCGCCCTGCACCTGGCTGCTGCCACTGGCTACTCCGCCCTACTTTGCTTCTTTTTCATGGTTCTGGGACTTGAACCCACGGCTGCCGGTTCTGGGACTTGAACCCATGGCTGCCGCACTGAGCTCCACCCCCAGCCCTTGTTGAAAATTATTTTTTGAGACAGGGTCTCAAGTTGCCCAGGCTGGGTTTGCACTTGTGATCCTCCTGCCTCAGCCTCCCACAGTGCTGGATGATAGGCGTGCACTCCTTTATCTTGTTCTATTCCCGGCACCTTTCTCAGTCCCAGGCCGTGGCCCGGCGCTGCACCCCTGGGCATCTGGCCTGGGGGCAAGAACGGGTGCCCCTGCGGTACCAGCTCTGCTCCGGCCATGCTGTCCCCCTCGAGCTCCAGGGAGGCCGTCTGCCCACAGCCGCTGACCTGGTCCCCAGTGCCCCCAGGCCCAGGAGAAGGCTCAGCCTCCACCCCTTGGTCTCGGGCACACAGCCCTCTCTGCACCCTGCCCTCGGCTCTGGGTGCCGGGCTTCCTCACGGCGAGCTCCGGTCCTGGCTTCCACCAGGGCCCTCAGGGACCCGGTGGCTGCACACAGCAGGCGACTGGCACGGCACATCTGCCCCAGACCCCACCACTCACCCTCCACCGTCTCCTTCACCCTGATCTTCTCCTCCGAGAGGTCGTCCGAGTGGATCACCTGCAAGCACAGCCCTGTGAGGGCCGGGTCCCTGGCCCGGCGGCAGCTGCACACCTCCCCGCCGCTGATCCACGTGGTGAGGGGACGCAGCGTCCTCGCCTGGCCTCCCCGCCACAGGACCCCCGGCTCCCAGCCTCCCCATGGCTGCGTGTGCGGCTATGGCTGCCTGGCCCTCCTCCCTCTGCTGCGGACGCTTACTACGTGACACCGCTGCCCCGTCCCCTGGGCTCCGCCGGGCAGACCCGGTCCTGTGGCCGGAGACAGAGCTACTGGCCTTGGTTTCCCACCTGTGACGTCAGCACTGCGGCTCTGGGCGGTGTGTACCTGCGCCCAGCACTGCCCTGGGGAGACTCCGGTAAACACCAACAATGCTAGGCAAGGCTAAGCCCGACGCCAAAGACAGAAAAGCAAAGCCATCCAGCAGACGCCCCACGGCTTCCTGGCAGGAGCTTCTGCGGCCACCCTCAGAGCCTGCAGACCGCAGTCTAACCTCGTGTGGTAGGGCAATACCAAGCTGAGCAAGTAGTCACCTCCACCGTCCTGCCCCTCATACCTCTGTTCATACATCCCAAGCCCTGCTATCGTCTCAATAGTCTGGTGATTAACATAGCCCCCTTGATCTTATTATACACAGTGCAGTGATGATGAGACACACAAAAAAAGGGAAAAAAATTCAATTCTCATATTTCAGTGAGATTTTTAAAAATCCAGTTGTTCCTGAACCTAAGCTTCTGAATCTAGGGGATGCATGGTCTAGATGCAGGCCCCAGAGTGAGTGGGAATCAAGGCCTTGGCCTTCATGGGGTACCACATCCTCCTCGCCCAGGAGCCCCCGAGACTGATGTGCTCAGGGCACCTGGTCAAGGGAATCGAGGTCACAGAACAGATTCCAGCTGTGCGAGCGGCTTTAGGCCACAGCGGGGCTGGGCCTCCTCCTCTGCCCTCTCTGCCCTGGGAGGGTCGCAGGGTACTCGAGGCACAATACAGGTTGGCTTACACACTTGTTGTCCCAGGGCTCTGGGAGGCTGAGGCAGGAGGATCGCAAGTTCCAGTGCAGCCCAGGCAACTTAGCAAGACCTTGTCTCAAGATAAAACATAAAGCCAAGTGTGGTGGCACACACCTATAATCCCAGCACTCTGGAGGCTGAGGCAGGAGGATCGTTGTGAGCTGAGACCAGCCTGGGCTACAAAGTGAGCTCAAGGCCAGCCTGAACTGCATAGTGACACCCTGTCTCAAAAAGACAAAAAGAAAAAAAAAAAAAACAAAACATAAAAAATAAATTTAAAGGCGGCAGGAATGTAGGTCAGTATGTTCAATCCCCAGCTCTGGGGGGAAAAAAGGTGCTCAGCCTCAGAGCTGCAGAAAGCTGGTAACCTGAATGCTAAACCCTGGGCCAGGAAGCTCCAGCTGTCCGGGGGCAGCAGGGGACCCGTGTTAGACGCTGACCACACTGCAGCCAGCGCCTCTTTCAGCTACCTCTGTCGTGCCGGGTCCCCAGGCACGGGCTGGGCACTTCCACCACACCAGGATGGGCACTGCCTCTCGGAATCCGCTTGCCCAGGGGCCAGGGCTGGAGTTATCGCGACAAGGGGCACCACAGGCCCTGGCACAGAGTGGGCACCAGGGCCCCTCCAAAGGCCCTTCTGGGCCCTGGAGCCCACATCGCTCCCTGGGGACCCGGAGGAGTCGCCACGCTGAAGGAAGGAGGGCAGACACTGGGATTTCTAGACTTGGCAAAAAACAGCGGCCTCTGCAGGGCCACCTCTGCCTCGCCTTCCAGACCCTCTGCCGACCCCTCACTCTGGGGACACGGTGAGGCACGAGGCCTCAGCAGCACTGGCAGCACAGGGCCAGCCGGTTCCCCAGGCTGGCATCTGTACCCGGGCTCTAGGGAGACCGAGAGTCCTGCCCGGAGGTCGTGCCAGGGGGACCCAAGGGCTTGGGGGCTGCGGAAGGCCTGTGCCCCAGCTGCACATCTCCCCAGCCTGCTGAGGCAGGGTTATCTCCATCACCAGCAGGGCTTGACACTCCCCGCCTTTTTCTCCATACTGGGGATTGACCCCAGGGCCTTGGCACTGAGCTACCTCCTCAGCCCTTTTTTATCTTTTTATCCGGAGACAGGGTCTTGCTAAGTTTCCCAGGCTGGACTTGAACTGGTGATCCTCCTGCCTCAGCCTCCCTGAGTGCTAGGCTAACAGGTGTGTGCCACCATGCCCAGCTTGCCACCCAGCCGCCAGAGGGAGTGGGAGTTCCCTGTCTGAGCCGGGTGCCCCGATCCCCATGCGGTGCTCCTGGGGACAGGCAAAGGACTCTGGGGCCGGCACACGGAGGCCGCGCACGCCCGGCCCTCCTGCCCCTCCCCGCCTACGTGGCTGTGCGGTGCCGAGCACTGGGCCTCAGCGGCCTGCAGTCTGTTCTCGGCGACCAGGAGCTTCTCCCGCAGCCGCTCGGCCTCCTGCTTGCTCTGGGCCTCTGCCCGCTGCAGCCGCTCGTAGTCCAGCATCTTGCGCTCGGCCAGCGCGATCTGCTCCTTGAGGAACTCGATGGCCTGCGCCTGGCCGCGGTACTCCACATCCAGCCCCTCCAGCTCCTGCGCACGCAGCTCGGCGTCGCGGCGCCCGTCCCGGGCCTCCTGCAGCTCCAGCCGGTGCTGGGCGGCCTGCGCCTCGAGCTGGGCGCGCCAGTGCTGCCGCAGCCCGGCCAGCTCCTCCTGCGCCTCCTGCAGCTTCTGCCGCAGGCCCTCCTTCTCCTTGGTGTGCACAGCCGTCTCCAGGTCGTGCTTGGCCTGCAGGTTGCCCAGCTCCAGCTGGTGCTCCATCTTGATGCCCTCCAGGACGGCCTTGAGCTCCCCGATCTCCTTCTGCTGGGCGCCAGGGCCCGAGTTCAGCGTGGCCTTCAGGTCCTCCAGGGACTTCTGGTGGTCGGAGGCCAGCGAGTCCAGCTTGGACTTCCAGTTGTCCATGAGTCCCATGTTCTCGCTGGTGGCCTGCTGCACCTTGGCCTTCAGGTCGGCCACCTCCTGTGCGTACTTGTCGTTGGCGGTGCGCAGCTTGTCCACCTCGGCCTGGTAGGCCTTCAGCGCCCCCTCGTACTTGTCTCGCAGCGCCCCGCTCTCCCGCCGCTGCTCCTGGGAGGCCGACAGCAGCCGCTCCCGCAGCCGCAGCGCCTCGGCGGCCTCGGGGTCGTCGGAGGGCGGGGGCCCCGCGTGCAGCAGGCACTGCTGCAGCTGCTCGATCTCCCCGCGCCGCAGGCTCAGCTCCTCCTCCAGCTGCAGCACCCGCGACTTCTCGGCCACCGTGGTCAGCTGCAGGGAGAGAGGGTTGCGGCGTCAGCGGCCCTGAGGGCGGAGGGCACCCACCCCCACCTGCGTGCAGCTGTGCTCCCCTACTTTGTGCACCCCAAAGGCACGGGAGCCACATGTCCCCTCCACCCTAGGTAAAAGAAACTCCCTATTTGAAGTTAGGGCTTTCTGTAAGCTGACATTATTATTATTTTTGTAGTGTTGGGGATGGATCCTTGCCCATGCTGGGCATGCGCTCTACCACTGAGCTACACCCCAGCCCTTTTGTTTGTTGTTCTTTTGAGACAGGGTCCCACTATGTAGTCCAGAATGCCCTAGAACTCACTAGACAGCCCAGGCTGGCCTCAAACTCACAATGATCCTCCTGCCTCAGCCTCCCAAGTGCTGGGATTGTAGGCATGCACCACCCCAGCCCTTTTAAAAAAATTTTTAAATTTTGAGACAGTCTCACTAAATTGCCCAGGAGGGGCTAAAACTTGTGATCCTCCTGCCTCAGCCTCCTAAGAGCTGCGAATACAGGCAAGCACCCACACACCTGGCTGGCTAATGCTTTTTTATCTTAACTTTTGGCAGTGCTGGTGATTGAACCCAGGGCTTCTTGCATGCAGGGAAAGGCTCTACCACTGAGCTATACAGTCCGATCCTTAACGTTACTTTTAAAGGGCAGAGGCCAGAGTGAATTCTCCTTGATCTCTCTCTAGCCAGGCACTGGGAAGGGGCTGAGTTCCGCAGTGGCCAGTTGGAGAAGACCAGACGTGGGTGGAGCTTCGAGCTGCCAGCGGAACAGAAAGAATGCGCCCCTGCGGCCAGAAGCACCACTGTCTGTAAACCCACCCCCCACGTGGACGTCACAGGTCTGGAAACTATACTTTAACATTTCTAACCTTTCACAAACTTAAGGGGTTTTACTTGTGATTACTCTTTGGCTTAATAAACTATATTTTTCTTTCTGGTACTGGGGATTAAGCCCAGTCTTTGAACTGAGCTCGGTCACCAGGCCTTTCATGAGAGAGGGTCTCGCTCTACTGCCCAGGCTGGGCTCGAACTCGGGATCACCTGTTTTTCCTTCGGTAACCTGGCTGAGTTTGGATCAAAGCGCCTCCGTCGGGAGGGCTCTAATCAGCCACTGTGCAGGGATGGGTTCCTGCACGCGGCCTTGGTGCGCATGTGCTGCACCGCATGCGCGCACGCGCGTGCACGGAGTCCCGGACAACAGCCGGCGCACGCCCAGGAACCCGCGTCTCTGGAAACCCGCGGACATGCACGCGGCCACCAGGCGGAAACCTACGCTGCTTGGTCCTCCTGCTGTCTATGGGTGGCCCGGCCGCACAACCTGAGGGGGTGCAGGTGGGGGTGGGGAGCGCATGTGCAGTAGGCTGCTAGGTCTGCAGTGTGAGGCATAGGGACACAGACCTCGCCTGGGACTCAGAGACCTCACTTCCAGGCAGAGTGCTGCTGAGCTCCCCAACCCTGGGGCTGCCCACCCATTTAGGACACCCATAAAACTTCCCCTGGGCCTTCACAATGAGTTACATCCACATCCCATCTATTATCTATCTATCTATCTATCTATTTATCTATCTATCTATCTACCTACAGGGTCTCACCAAGTCACTAAATTGCCCAGACTGGGCTGGAACCTGCGACTCTCCTGCCTCAGCCTCCCAGAATGCTGGGATGGCAGGCATGTGCCACCACACCTGGCTGTCCCAGCTATTTCCTGAGCCCAGGTCCTCAGCCCTGCCCTTCCCACCTCCATGGAGAGGCCCTGCTGGACAAGGGAGCCCTGGGTCTGCAGGTCCCACCCCCTCAGGCTGGCGGCTGAGGAAGCCGGGCATCCCAGGCACCCGAGGCAAGTCGGGGGAGACATGGCGGGGTCCCCTGGGGCCCTCAGCAGTGGGGCAGAGTCCCAGGGAGCCAAGCCCCCATAAGCATCATGTGTTGCTGGAGTCTAAGTATGCTCCCAAACCTCCACCTCCCTCCTAGACGGGGCACAAAAGAAAAAAGCAGCGACGACAGCAGCCGAAGACGGGGTCAGTCACGACACAGAGGCCGAGGGGCGGGAGGGCCGCGCGGGCGGCGGCGGGCGCGTTACCCTGTTGTCCGCCAATTCCCGGAGCAGCCGCTCCGCCTGCGCCTTCTCCAGTAGCAGGCTCTGCTCCAGCTCCCCAATGCGCGCATGCTCCAGCTGCGTCTGGGTCTGCTCCGCCCGCGGGCCGCGCAGGGGGCGTGGGGAGGGCACGGGGAAGAGGGGGCCGGAGACGGAAAGAGGGAGAGGGAGAGAGAAAGAGGAGGCGTCATCTTCAGTGCAGACCAGAAGCGAGAGCAGGTCGAGGAGCCAGAATCGCTCGGGAAAGACAGGAGTCTGGGGGCGGAGTGCGTGGCAGGCAGAGGGGGCTGCGGGGACCCCTCCTCAGCAGCTGTGGCGATGGGCACCGCGATCTCCCCCTTTCCCCCAGACCCAGCCTCCTCTTGCAGCCTGGGGCAGCCTGTGGGCTGAGCTCGTTTTAGACACAGGCCGGGGCCTCGGAGGGGAGGGAGGGATAACCGATCCCCCAACTCCTGGCCCGCCAGGCCTGCGCAGGACAGGAAGAACCCAGGGATGGAAAGGTTTTCAGAGAGAAACCAGGCCATCGTGAGCTTCCCTTCCCACCAGCCTGGTCCCGGCAGGACCCTGTCACCGCCCAGCCACCCCGGGCACTGCGGAGGCTGCCTGGTCTCCAGGGAACACAAGGGCACTTTTGTCCCCGCCTCACAACGCCAGCTTCAGCACTAACAAAGCCCCCCATTCTCAGGGTGTTGGCGCTGGCATCTGCCCTGCCCAGGACGAGCTCTGGAAGGGAGCAGGGGCGAGGACTTTGCCCGGGCACCACCAGCTTGGAAACAGGGACATCTCGGGCAGAGGCGGGACACACTGCAAAGCAAACTCTTGTCCCTTGTGGAAGTGGTAAACTGAGGCACAAACCCCAGTACTCCTGTGTCCCCACATCGCTGGATTCCAATGTTATCTTTTTTTTGGTTTGGTTTTGTTTGGTTTGGTACCAGCAATCGAACTCAGGACCTTGTGCTTGCCAGGCAGGCGCTTATGCCGCTGAGCTATATCCCTGGCCTTTGGATTCCAATGTTAAAAGACTGATTGACAACGGCAGATTGACAGTGTTAAAAGAAGATTGTGTCTCTGCCGAGCACAGCTGGACCTCTGCTTGTCCTTATCCCTAAACAGAGTGTGAAGCTGTTTACCCAGGGTCTGTGCATTCCACGGATTCGGGGATTCATGGGGTCACAGAACCAATTCCTTAGGGCACCCAGGGGCAGAGACAACTGTGCTACGCTTGCAGTTCATAAAGAGCTAACTGATGTCTGTGTCATTCGGTCTATGATCTTAGTTCTTGTTTTGTTTTGTTTTTTTCCTTAAAAACTCTGTATGAGAGAAGAATCCAACAAGGAAAAATAGAGGGCTCGGACTGGCCCTCAGCTTCCAGAAGGAGTGAGACCCAGGACAGACGTCCACATCCTGGAGGGATGCGGGCATTCAGGATACGATCCTCGCTGTTTCTGTCTGAGTTTCAACTTTCCAACACGATACATTTATGAAGCTATTTTTCAAAACACCGTTCTGGCTTTGGTGTGGGCAGGAACCACTAAGGAGCAAAGAGGGAGGGCGGGCCAGGCAGGGGCTGCCGGAGCGGCCCAGGGAGGCGGCCGTGGCGATGGTGTCACCTTGGAGCTGAGATCAAGAGGCTTCCATGCGGGGCGGAGGAAAGGGACGCTCGATGCGCTCTGGCTGTGGGGAGCTGTAAGAACTGGGGGGCCAGTCCCTCAGACGGGAACCAGCGGGGTGAAGCCAAGGACGACGGGCATGCTGCGTGCGGGGTAGCACAGGGCGCCCGGTGGCACCCCTACGTTTCACACCCACCCAGAATCTTGGAAGAGGACGTGGCTGGGAAGAGGGTCTTTGCTCAAGGGTGAGGAGGATAAACCCTAAATCCCAGGACCGGTGTCCACACAAGGCAGCCATGGGAGCAGACGCGGGGGAAGCTGTCAGGTGGCCTCAGGCAGGCAGGGGCTGTCGTGAAGCAGCTAGAAGCCCAGGTACACCGAGGCCACTGGCGATCTTTCCAGAAGCCAGGACAGAGGCAAGGGGCACATTTTCCCGCAGATTCCAAAGGGAACCGGCCTCGTTCAGCAACATCTTGATTTCAGACTTTAACGTCCAGAACTGGGACAACAGAAATGCGTGTTGTTTTCAGCCATGGGCCAGGGCGGGACTGGGGGTGGCCCTGGCGTCCATGAGGCCCGCTAAGGACACTGGAAACCACAGACTGGCTGGACGCCCACCAGGCAAATGTGGACGGGAGGCTACAGGGCCCAGCACCCAGAGGGCAGGGAGGGAGTGGTGCCAGCAAGGAGGCTGAGAAGGTGGGACGGAGAGTGCGAAGACAAGGGGGTCATGAGATTTAGCTCAGTGGCACAAGCCCTGCCTGGCAAGTGCAAGGTCCTGAGTTTTATTCCCAGAACAAAAAAAAGAAAAAAAAGAGAATATTTAAAAGTTTTGAGGTGAGATCAAGAAATGGGGTGGTATAGCCCAAGGGGCCCAGGAAGCCAAGAAGCGGTTCAGTTCTATAATTTTGACTTTAAGATGGGTGGGAAGCAGGACTTGGTGTCAGTTTGCCTCCTGGTTGTCATGAATAAGGACTCAATTAGGTTTGTGCAATAAAACGCCTCTTGCCACGAACTAGCTGTCTGTCCCACCCCCTGCCTCTCCCAGCGAGACCTGATTGGATAGGGATGGACACCTGATCCACAGCCAGCCAGCCTATTGGCTAGCCCAGAACCAATCAGATTCTCTCGTGAGGATACTGGTAAGTGATGGGCGATGGCGCCTGGTCAGCCTGGAGAAGGGATCTGCGTGTGCGATAGATGTCTGCAGACACAGCAAGAGAGAGAGACAGGAAGCAAGACCTGGAGTCATAGACAAGAGGGAGGCCCGGGGGTAGGGAAAGAGGTGGGCTGCGCTCCTGGCGCTGTTGCTGAATTCCCTGCCTTTGGGGGCGGCTGTGTATTTCTCAGCAATGCCCTTGGTGACTGGTGCTGCGGGCGGGGTCCGTTCTGGCAACCACAGGTGCCATCCTGGAAGCCCATCTGGCCCCTGCAGGAGGACCGCTGCCCATCAGAAAGCCCCACAGACAAAACCACATGACCTGTCTCTTTGGCTGCGAGAGCACATAAATCAGAAGAGCCTGCGCCTGCGTGCGACACTGGGCATCAGAACGTGCTCCAGCCGCAGTGGAAGCAGCTGGCAGGACCCTAGGCAGCTCCACATCCCTCTCCTGGAGGCCTCCCCCAAGCCGGGGCCTCCAGGACAGGACAGCCCCCGGAGGGGACTGGAAGTTGCAGGATCTTTCCGTGGCTTTCAGTGTCAGAAACCGCATTCTGATCTGAGCCCGGAAATGATCTACTGCGGGGACCCCCGAGTGTGGTCCCAGAGACGGTCACCAGGGTGCTTGGCAGAAATGCCGATTCCTGGGTCCCACCCAGGTCTGCTGAGCCAGACCTGCTCAGATCCAACCTCCTCCTTTCACAGACGAGGACACTGAGGTCTGGGGAAGCAAGGAGGCTGCCCAAGGGCTCTTGGGGCCAGAATCAGAGTGTGGGGACTGACAGGCCTTGCCGTCCTCTGTCCCATCGAGACCTCGGGCGTCCTCGACCTGTGGCATCTCCCAGGAGTACGGAGGACCTCAGCAGGAAGGTGCCCCGTGCTCTCTGCGTGGTTGGGGGCAGTTTCAAGCGCCACTTAGGGCACCCCAGTCCCTCGGCTCTGAAGGGTCCCCACTGTGCCAGCCCCATGTGTGCGGTGACAGAACCCAGGGGCTCTGGCGTGACGCAGCCTGTGGCGGGGGCAGGAGCCAGGAGTTCGGCTCCCTGGTCCCTGAGGCTGTGGGCTGGCCCAGGACTGGGCGGAGCCTCGTTTCCCTGAGCCTCAGCCGTCCCATCTATATCCTCTGTGACGCCCCCAGCTACTTCCAACCACAGCACACCAGCAGAACAGGTGAAGAAAGGCCCACGGGACACCTTCAGGGGCAGAAGGGACGGGGAGCCCAGCGACTATGTCCTCCAAGCCAGCGCTGCGTCCTCACGGCGCCAGCTCCACCCTGTCCCCTCCTCAGTTCCCAACGTAGGGCCCCCTGCGCTCCAGAGCAAAGTCATCCACCGTGACAACTGCCGCCCTGGCCTCTCCCCCACACTCCCAAGGCGTGACCTTGGACCCCAGAGTGACCACCTGGACCCCACGGCCACGTGCATGGCGAAGGGGCCTGGGGTGCGGCGCAAGCCCGGCCCACGGTTACCTCCAGGTCTCCCTTGGTGATGGACTCCTCCTCCACGCGGAACTGCAGGTCCTCCACCTTCCTGCGGGGAGACAGGGCTGACTCTCAAGGCAACCAAGCAGAGGGGCCCGGCCCAGCAGAACGGGACCCACCCCCAGTCCTGCGGCTGAAGGTGCAGGGCCTCCTGGAGCCTCCAGCCCTCCTAGCCTCCCACCCACACTCTGGGCAGGACCCTCCTCTTCCCCCAGGGTGGGCATGGGGAATAAAGGACAGTGGCTGGGGACAGAGGCGCTGGACTCTGATGCCAAGACACGATTTCAAAGCTGCTCTCCCTGGAGCCTCCCGACAGCCTGTGGCACAGCCTTGAGGAAGTGCCCAGAGAGGGCAAGCAGCCTGTCCAAGGCCCCACAGCAAGTCCAGGGCGATGGGTGGCACTTGCGCCCAGGCCCTTCCTGAACACAACTCCCACCATGCTGTAAAGAACTGTTTGTCGGCAGTGGCTGCGTCACCATGGGAACCAGATGTGTGGGTGCAGGCAGATATAAATAAACCCATGTCCCCCAGCGGGACAGAACAGCAGCCTGTGGGGCACACAGTCAGTGGAGCATTGCAAACCCAGACTCGAGCTGGCGCCAGGCAGGGGCAGTGCCGGGGAGGGGAGGGGAGGGGAGGGCAAGGACACCGGAAGCTGCGTGTGCTCCGGGTGCTCAGGAAGCTCTGTCCCACTAGGTGAGCCCGGCCTGCGACAGGCCGGAGTCCGCCACCCCCTGGGCCCTGAAGTATGTGGCCGGGGCTGTGGAGAGGTTGCCCCGCCTGCGTCTTTCTGTGGGTTCCTGGGGTCCCTGACTTGGCAGGAGCTTCCATGCGGGTGAGGGAGAAGAGGCCTCAGAAACGCAGATGGACAGAGCCCCAGCCGGGCACTGAGGCGGGGCAGGTGAGCCGGCGGCGCCAGCAAGTCCCTTCCCGGCGCTGTTTCAGTTTTCCCTCTGTGACCATGACGACGAACGCAGCGCCTGCCTCGGCCCACGATCGGATGGGGGGAGGCAGCGACACAGGACCTTTTCTGGGCGTGTGAAGGGGAACGGAGCCCCAGGGAGGGCTGGGAGCCGAGGGCTGCTCCTGGCCGGAACGGGCACACACGGGCGGGGACACCAGGCCTTGTCCGGTGCGTGGCTCCCCAGGGGCACCCGGTGCTCTGCTTGTGACAAGCCACTGGCCAGGCCAGGGAGAGCGCTCTGTGACTGGCACCGCGCTGGGGCCTTCACTCTTTTATTTTTCTTTTGCTGTACTGGGGTCTGAACCCAGCGCCTTCACACTGAGCTACATCCCCAGTGCTTATTTTGAGACAAGGTCTTGCTAAATTGTCCAGGTTGGGCTCCAACTTGTCATCCTCCTGCCTCAGCCTCCCAGAGGACTGGGATTCAAGGTGTGCGCCACAACGCCCAGCTTGGTATCTCCTAACCGCCAGCAGGGATGGGACCTGCTATGCCCTTGGCAGCAGAGAGGACCAAGGCTCACAGGTTGGCCACAGCCTAAAGCGACACAGCCAGTAAAGGAGCAGAGGCGGGACCAGACCCAGGGCTGCGTATTCCCAAGCCTGAGTGGCTGGGTCCCCGGCCCCGCACCCACCTCCGTTCCTCCTCCAGCTGGTTGGACAGGTCCACCTTCTCCTTGCGCACGCTGTCCACCAGAAGCCGTGCCCGCTGCAGCTTCTCCTCCGCCTCTGCAACATACTGGGCCCGCGAGGGCCGTGGCAGGGTCAGGTCAAGGGTAAGGCCAGGCAGCCCTCACTGGGCACGGACTGTGGGCCCCACCCAAAGGATCCAAGAGCCCCCCCGCGCCCCTCAAACTAAGGGCCGTCGTTGTCCATGGATGGCCCCTCTCACTGCACACCCATGAGCCTGGCTTGTGACAGGTTTTTTCTTTGGTTTTGGGGGCTGAACCCAGGGCTTCTGCGCTGAACTACACTCCTGCCCTTTTTTATTTTATGAAACAGGGTCTCGCTAAATCACGGGCTGGGCTCAAACTTGCAGTCCTCCTGCCTCAGCCTCCCACAGTGCCGGCATTCTGGGTGTGGGGCACTCACAAGCCGTGTGCTCCTCCACACACACAGGGAAGGACCGGGAGGGGCGCTGTGAGGCAGGGCCTGGGTGCTGTTCAGCGTCCTCCGCACACCAGGAGCCCTGCGTGCGGCTGCGGGGTGCGGGCCCCTCTGCTGCCCACCTGCTCGTGCTGCGCCCTGAGCACCGCGATCTCCTTCTCCACCTCGCAGATGTGGCTGGTGGCCTTGGCCGCCTCGGCCCGCTCCAGGTCCCGCTCCGCCAGCAGCTGCTCGATGTGCTGCTGCTTCTCCTTCAGCGCCTCCTGCAGGGCCGTGGTGCCCGAGATCTTGCGGGCGTAGCGCGAGGAGGTCTCCGTGAGCTGCGGGGAGGGCGCAGCCGGGGCTCAGGGCCTGAGGCCTCGGGGACCCGGCAGGTGGCCTCCACCTCTGGTGGCTGCTGCTGGGGTCATCACTGCACCGGCCCCGCCAACCCAGAAGCCGAGGAAGCTGGGGCAGACAGGGGGACACCTGCAGTGCCCAGCGCCACCCTTACCAGGCCGCTGCGGCTGGGCCGGCCGCCCACCGAAGAGGCCACGGAGCTGACGGAGCTGATGGAGGAGCTGCTGGGGCTGTGGGTGAGCGCCGAGACGCCCATGGCCATGCGCTTGGTCTTCTTGGCCTTGGCGGGGCTGGTGGACGGGAAGCCGATGCGGATCACCTTGTGGATGGGCGCAAAGAGGCCGAACTTGGGCGGGCACTGGAAGTACCTGGGGATAGGCAGCAGCTGCCATCACGGCCCCGCGGAGAGGACAGCGGGGCCTGCTGCCCACGCCCGGCCCGGCAGGCGGGAGCCGTCGCACAGCTAGCTTGGCGGCCAAGCCGGGCCGCCTCCCCACAGTCCATACAGGACACAGCGACACCCAGCTCACGGGCTCATCTGCTCCCCAGCCCCACCGACCCGCACCCCTCAGCTGCTCTCAGGATTCCCTTCCACCAGAGACAGTGGGACACCTGAGCCCCTCTGCAAAGCCTGCCTTGTGCTGGGCAGCTGGGGACATGGACTGATGACTCCATGTGTCATCTAGGGTCCTTTTTTATTTTTTTTGAGACAGGGTCTCCCCAAGTTGCCCAGGCTGGCTCTGAACTCGAGATCCTCCCACCTCAGCCTCCTGATGACAGACTGAGATTGTTTTTTTTTGTTTTTTTGAGATAGGGTCTCGCTATGCAACTCAGGCTGGCCTTGAGCTCACTTTGTAGCCCAGGCTGGTCTCGAACTCAAACTCGCAATGATCCTCCTGCCTCAGCCTCCCGAGTGCTGGGATTACAGGTGGGGCCACCACTCTTGGCTCTGCCACTCCCTCTGAAGTACACCTGCTCCACTCAGCCACACATGGGCGGGAAGGGAACACGGGGACAGGGGATCCCCCTACCTGGTGCCTGCCACCGCCCCATCATTCTTCCCCAGGGGCTCGTCCAGCTCCACACCGCACCACTCGCCCTTGGCAAAGTCCGTCTCGCCCACGTACCGCACCACACCGGTCTTCGTGCCACCCACCTGTTGACACACAGAGGCAGAGAGGGGTGGGCACCTGGCTGATCAGCCCTGAGCCCATCTCTCCCTTCCAATACACAGAGAACAGGGGACCCAGAAGGAGGAGGGGACAGCCAGGAGGGACAAGAGCTCCACACCTGTCTGCCCCACACCAGTGTGCAGACAGACACTAAGCTCTGCATTCAAATTCTGCCCCTTTGATGCTGTGTGAGCTTGGGCAGGTGACCTAACCTCTCTGAACCTTGGCATCTGCAGCTGTGAAAAGAATTTCACTGAGAATTAGGTACTGGGCGGGTAGGGGCTGGTTTATCCTGGGGCCTCAGTGAGCGTTGTCCCTTAAAAAGATTTTAATGGTGGCTTTCAGAGTCTGGTGGGGAAGAAGAAACAGGAGCTACTGTTTAATGAGTCCAGAATTTCAGTTTTGCAAGATGAAAAAGTCCTGGAGAGCTAAAAATGGTTAAGCTGGTTCTATGATATTTTTTTAGCCATAATTTAAAAAAAAAAAAGGAATCTTGAAGGGCAGGACAATAAAATGTGTGAATACAACCATAAAAATAGCTTCAAAAATTTAAACCCAAGTCATACATATACATAGATTAAAGTGTCAAATACTTGCAAAAAAGCTTCAAGAGCCCAGAAGTTTCTCTGCTTTCCCTGTAAACAAACACTTTTTTAACTCTTTAGGTGGCATTGCCGGGTGTTTATGTGCTTATCTAAATAGCACGCTGCTGTGCTAGCTACTTTTTTTTCCCCCCTCACACTGAGCTACATTCCCAGCCCTTTTGTTATTTTTTATTTCGAGGCAGGGTTTGGCAGAGTTGCTAAGTCACCCAGGCTAGAATTGAACTTGGGATTCTCCTGCCTCAGCCTCCTAGAGGGAGAGTGCTGTGGGGACAGGTGTGCACCGGCGTGCCTGGCTCACAGAGCTCCCTTTGTACCAGGTTCTGCTGTTTCACGACAGAGGGCTTTGGAGTGAGTCCTTCCCCACCTCGCTCCCTGGGCTCCCTCATCAGTCCCGAGGAATTTCCTCGATTCCTTCCTGGATGCCACCTGCCTTTTCCTGTGCCCTCCCCGGCACCCAGCCAGGCAGGAGTGAGACCCGCTGGGCACACCCTCCTCTGGCCTCCCCTCCTTCCTGTGCCATCTGCTTTCCCCACTTCCTTCTCGATTTCCTTAAACCATGTCTTCTGAAGCTTCCGCAGTTTCCTTTTCCTGCGGCCACATTTCCCACAGCTTTCTGGTTCCATAACATTCACATCTGAATGCGTGTTCCCGTTCCTACACTCGGCAGCATTTTGCTCATACTTAACGCCCTGCTCCAAGGACTGGCCATTCTCCCGAGCAGGTCCTCCAGATCTGGCCACCGCAGGGCAAGTGCGCCTTTTCCCTCCTTCCTCCGCCTCTCTGCCTGGAACCCCAACAGCAAGTTCTGTCTGGGCCTTTTAGGAAGCCACTGAGGCCTCAGCCCACAGCACCGAGCTCGGCCCCATCTGGTCTGGTTTCACTTTGCTTTGTGGGACTGGGGGTTGAGCCCAGGGCCCTCCCACTGGGCTGCCTCCTCTCCCCAGCCCTTTATTCTTTAATTTTGAGGCAGGGTCTCACTAAATCACTAAATTGCCCAGACTGAGCTGGACCTTGCAACCCTCCTGCCTCAGCTTCCTGAGTGCCGGGATTATAGGCATGTAAGAATGAGTGAAGTCTTTAGGATGCGCCCCATCCAGCAGGTCTGGTGTCCTGGTCAGAAGAGGAGAGGTCAAGGATGACAGAGGCAGACACTCAAAACACAGCTGCAGGCCCGAGACAGCCGCTGCTGCACGCAGCTAAGGGAGGCTCAGAGCAGGTTCTCCCTGGCACCTTCGAGCGCTGGGCCTTGCCGGGAGCTCCACTCTGGACTTGTGGCCTCCAGGCTGCAGGAGGACAATTCCTGGTGTTTTAAGCCTCCTTGTGCGGGGCACAGGGCGCAGGGCGGATTTGCTGCCCAGGGCCGGCCACTCGAGTCACCTGGCCCTGGTGGCTCCTTAGGGGAGACTGGGGAGACAAGCCCAGGCCAGGATTCTGAGTGTGGAGGTGCACACCTGTCATCCCCAATTCTAGGAGGCTGAGGCAGGAGTATGGCAGACCTGAGCCCAGCCTAGGCAACTTAGCGAGATCGTGTCTCAAAATAAAAAGTTAAAGAAAAGCAAAGCTGGGGATGCAGCTCAGCGCACGGGCCCGGGGTCCATTCCCCAATAATGGGGAAAAAGCCCTGTTTTATGGCTGGGCCTCAGACTAGAAAGGTTAAGACGTTTGCCCAGGGTCACACAGCGGTGGTCTCCAAGGCTGACATGAACCGCCCGCCTGGTCACTCACTGCGGGGCGCCAATGAGGACCCAGTGCCCCCGTCCACGCCCCGGTTGGGCTGGGCCCCCGGGCCCCACTCACCAGCACGCGGTCTCCCAGGCGCAGGTCCTTGTCACCCCGCTTCACAGAGCCGCTGTCGGACAGGTTGGAGCCCGACTCGTTGCCGGTCTTCACGGCGCTGCCCAGCACGCTGTCCCGCAGCGGGAGCACGCGGCTGGCCAGCGGGGGGGTGGCCGTGCCCGAGTGCAGCGACAGGTTCTGGGCGGTGAGGGACTCCACAGAGTGGGTGTCGCTGCCCGAGCCCTCAGCCGCCGGCTGCCGGGTGAGCTTGGACGGCCGCGTGAAGATGCCCTGCAGCGCCGGGCACTCGAAGTAGCGCACGCCGCCCACCGCGCCGTCGTTCTTGCCCACCGGCTCGTCCAGCACCACCCCGGCCCACTGGCCCGGCGCGAACTGCGTCTCGCCCAGGTACTGCACCACGCCCGGCTTCACGCCGTTCACCCACACACGTTCGCCCACCACGAAGTCGCCCAGGAAGTCATCGCCCACCTCGGCCGCCTTCGGGCCCGGCTTCTCGGAGGCGGCGGGGGCGGCGCTGGCCGCGGAGGACGGGGAGCCCGAGGCCTGCTTGTGCAGGGGGGAACCTGTGGACCAGGAGGGGCTGCAGTTAGGGCTGGCCTGGGAGCCGGGGGCACAGCCCGGGCTCGAGCGATGCGGAAACTGAGGCAGCGGAGGTCTCCTTGATCTCGGACACCCCAGTCCTGCCTCACCCCTTCAGCCCCTCAGAGGTTCCAGCTCAGGAACAGCTCCCTCACAGAGCAAGGTGTGAGTCTCCCCGTCACAGCCCCGAGCAGAGCTGGTGTGGCGGGACACGCCTGCCACCCCGCACTCTCAGAGGCTGAGACAGGAGGACTGTGAGTTGAAGCCCAGCCTGGGCAACTCGGAGAGACTCTGTCTCAAATTTTAAAATGACAAAAAAAAAGGGCTGGGGATGCAGCTCAGTACGAAAGTCCCCGGTTCAACTCCCTGTAACACACGTACAACCCTGGGGTCCCTGGGTGGATCCGCAGAGCCCCAGGACCCACAAAAGGCCTGGCCTGTTCCTGGTCACCGGGAGAGAAAATATCCAGAGATGTCTGGGAGGAAGGGATGGGAGGCCCCTCCCCCAGCCTCAGGCGCAGCGGTGGGAGCAGGCACGTAAGCCTGCACTGGCCTGAAGGACCCCGGGGTTCAGAGAGGCTCGGGTCTTCCCGGGAGGGCTGCTGCCCAGGCCCTGGCTCCAGCGAGCGGCACATGCAGGACAGAAGCGGCCCGCTCCAGGGCACTGGAACAGCACAGCCCGCCGTGTCTCTCCCATGTGTGGGCCCCAACTGCGCCTGGAGCTACTCGGGTGCCACACAGTCTCTCTGTCCCCGTCTTGTGCCGCCCCTCCTGCCGGCCAGGCCGAGCCTGAGGCAGAGAACCCTGCACTGCAGAGGCCAGCGCGCTGTGGTGTGCTGGCAGGGACAGTGCACCCAGGGTCCCCTCACCACTGCAGTTTCCGGGCCTTTCCCAGAGCTGCAGAGAAGCCCCGCCCCCTAGGAACGCACGGTCAGGAGGGAGGCTCCTGCAGGGTCAGCGCTGCCTCCCACTGGGGCCAGGTGGGGCCATGAACCCAAACAACCTCAGGACTCTGGGCCACAGACTCGGGTGCTGTGCTAGGTACGTGACTCAAAGGAGCTCAGTGAACCTCTGTGGCCCCATTTTACAGATGAGAAAAACGAGGCTCTGCGATACCTGGTGCTTCGCCTGGCTCCACACAGGGGGCGCAGCACAGCCCGGCTGTGGCCAAGGCCCTGGTTCCTGCGGAAGTTACTGTCACGCCCCCACCTCAAGCCCATGGGACAGTCACCCTGAGCCCAGCCTCCCTGAAAGGACCTGTTTCCCAGAAGCCTACGGCACCCCACGGCAGGCAACTGCCGTCCTCCCAGTACAGGGATGCCCTCTCTCCCCTTCAGAGGGTCTAGGGTGGGTGGCCCCCGAGGCTTCTCTCCCACCCCCGAGACCCGAGAAGACGGGAGTCACAGCAGCTGGGCAAGCAAAGCCGCCACGGCCCCCAGCTGCAGCCCTCCTTGCTGCACGCACAGCTTGATGAAGTTACTTCACACCCCGTGCCTCAGTTTCCCCATCAGTGCCTCTGGCACAGAGCTGTCTGGGGAAAGCAGACACGAGTGCTGGGTAGAGGACAGTAAACTAGCTCCACGGTTCTGAGGAGACTTTTACACTCAAACTAGGAGATCCGGAGAGAATGGTAAAATATACGATGTCTGAAGGAGGCTGTCCGGACTTCCAGCTTCTGGTGACCTTGGGCAAATCTCTGGTCCCCCCAGTGAAAGCAGGGGGTCACACGCGGACTCTGCGGTGGACACACAAGCCCACGCGTGAATCTCCTGCTCACAGCGACCCTGACACGCAGCTCCAGGAGGTCAGGGTCCTGATTTAGGACAGCACTGTGCTACAGGCAGCCTGCAGGGGAGCGTGCCAGGAACAGGAGCGCGGAGGTCACGCTGGCGCACATGCGCACACGCGTGTGTGCTCACATGCACGCACACAGATGCACACGCAAGCCGGGGGGAGCCTCCTGCACACTCCTCTCGCCAGCTCGGCTGCCCCTTCCGCAGGACAATGGAGAGGGCCACAGACTGGATGGCGGCCCTGCCGCCCAAGCCTCCTGTCACCACCCAAGCCCCTGTCACCACCCAAGCCCCTGTCACCAGCAACCAGAGCTGCTGTCATCAAACAGCAGCTGCCTCTGTGGAGTGCTGGCCTCAGCACGCGGCGCCCCAGGGGCTTTCCTGTGCTTTATCACCTCACGTGCAGATCCAAGACAGGGCTGGAAGTGGCCCGGGGTCCCCCCTGCTGGAGGGGTGCCCTAGGGATCCGGGACACTTTGCTTTGCTGTGCAGACGCCGTTCTCCGCACAGAGCAGGGCTCCGGGCACAGGACACCAGCACAGCTATTCTCGGCAGACGCCGCTGCCCAGCTGTCCCTGTGTCCAGCTGTCCCCACCAGCTCAGGGCGACCCTCAGGTAATCTCTCCCTGCTGCCCACCCCTGCAGGCTCAGGCCGGTGCACCAGTTGTTCCAACAGCTGCTAAAATCCAGGTCGCAAGCCTGCGGCGCCGGCCGTAGTTGTTTTACTAAATTTTGTCGCTTTTCTGCCGTCCGGCCTCCCGAGACCACGCCCTCCCCAAAGCCCCCAGCTTTGGCGGCTGGGAAGACACAGGAAACCGGACAGCGTCCCCATCCTTCTGAGGGTCAGCTGGTGACAGAAGGTGCTTCAGTCTCCCCATGAGACCACCCAGGGCCAGGTCAGAAACAGCTGGGGTCTCACCCTCCGTGTCCCCTCTCCTCGCAGGGGACCTGGTGTCAGAGCTCTGAGACCCGGGCCGGCTGGGCCCAGCCACAGGGACTCAAACCCTGCGAGCAGCTGGTCCTCCCGGCAGCGCTGCCTGCAGACAGGAGGCGGCTCCCGTTCAAAGCAGAACTGCCAGAAAGAGCTAAAGGACACTAAGGAGTGGCAGCAGCTGGTGGCTTCGTCCCACAGTGGGGGAGAACGGGGGTCTCCCTGCCACCCACCAGGATATGGGTCCCCGGGGACAGGCCTTTGCTATCCTTGCCAAACCTCGGCCAGCAGGGGGCCAGTCACCGAGCACCTTCTCAGGGCTGGGGACACCGCAGGCCCAGCAAGGGCCCGGCAAGGGCTGGGGTGACACACAGGCCCAGAGTGATGGGGGTACAGGGTGCACGGCCATGCCAGGCTCCCGGGGAGCCTCCTCAGCAGGCTCTGTCTCCAGCCCCCAGCACAACACTGGGCAGTGCTGCCCACCATACAGACTCTGGTCCCACTCCCAGGAGAGCTGCAAGGGTCCCAGCATGCGGACCACTGGGTCCTTCCCATCCCTCAGGCCTTCACCTGCTCTTCCTCCCGCCTCTGTCCCTCCCCTTTTCCATATTCCCACAGAAAGCTAAGAACCCCATTCTTGGCCAGGTGTGGTAATGCCCGCCTATAATCCCAGCTACTCAGGAAGCTGAGGCAGGAGGGTCTCCCTGGGCAACTCCGTGAGATCCTGGGGATAAAAAAGAGCTAGAGAGGTAGCTCAGTGTGAACAAAGGTCCTGGGTTCAATACCCAATACAGGAAACAAACAAAGCCCCCTCCTCCAAAGCAGGTCTCCAGAGCCCCTCCTCCGGAAGGCAGGAGGCAGCCGCACAGCCAGCCCACTGTGCTCCTCCCTAGCCCTCCCACCCCAGCAGTTCTACAGGAGGAATCCTGATCTGCAGCCCTAGGAACAAGACCCGACCTCAACTGTGGTCACTCACTGTATTAACCTTCGACACATAATGAGCTCATGTAATAAACATGATAGGCTGGATTAAGTATGATAAAAATGAAATATAGGGGCTGGGGATTTACTCAGCAGCACAGTGCCTGCCTGGCAAGCGTGAGGTCGTGAGTTTGATTCCTGGTACTGGAAAAAAACAAAACAAAACAAGAAACAAAAAGAAATATCATCATTTTAAAATTAAAAAATGAAACCAGCTGAGTGTGGTGGCTCATGCCTGTAATCTTGGCACTCTGGGAGGCTGAGGCAGGAGGATGCAAGGTTTAGCCCAGCCCAAGCCACTTAGTAAAACCCTATCTCAGAATAAAAAATAAAAAGGGGTGGGGATGTAGCTCGGTACAAAGGCCCTAGGTTCAATCCTTAGTATCGCAAAAAAACAAAAACAAAACCAAAAAACAATCAATCAATCAATCCAGTAAAATAAAACCAAGGGAATGTAATCTTTGGCCAATTTCCCAAGGAAATGATTCAGAAAGTAATCCAAGTGCCCTGAAATCACAAGTACTTCTGCACACCGTGGTCAACGAGTCACTCCCCGCCTTTAAAAATATTTTTTCCAGGTCAGAAGGGAAAGAGTTGGTCAGGCGCGACGTGTGGGGAAGCAGGGTTCAAGAGCACCTTTCTACACAGCCTGGATGCGGGTCCGGGGGACGGGGCAGAGGACGGGAAAGGAATCTGCTCAGAAAAGCCGGGAGGGGCCTCGGGGACCCAGGACGCTCAGAGCAGCTCCGTCCCCGCCCCACGGCCTCGCGGGGAGGGGTCCTACGCCCCACGGAACAGCGTCCCACGGGGCATTCCTCTCTCAGTTCAAACAAGAGTGAGAAACTGCACCTTGACCAAAGCCGAAGCTACTTCCTCCGGGGACTTTCCAGGGCCTTTGCTATGCTAATGAGCATCCTGCCCAGGGAAGCGTTGGGTCGGGGAGCACAGGATTCCGCCACCCCAGCCCCGCCCTACGGCACAGCGAGGGACGCCCTGGAACTGGGGACTGAGCCCAGAACCTCTGCGTTCAACCGCACCCCCAGCCCTTTAAAAAAATTTTGGACAGAAAAAAAATTTTTGGACAGGATTTCCTTAAATCACCAAGTAGCCCAGGCGGGGCTGGACTTTGCAATCCTCCTGCCTCGGTCTCCCAGAGTGCTCGGATGACAGGGGTGCAGCACACGCCCCGGGAGAGGCCTCTCCTGACAGCACACGGCAGGACGGCCCCAGGCTGCCAGGCGCCCCGCCGTTCCTCCCGCAGCCGACAGCCACCCCCAGT